CTCGACTCAGTCTACTGTATCGTGCGACGTATCGGGGTGCCCATCGGGACGTTCGGAACCGATGACTCTGATAATCTCTCTGCGCTCGGCGATAGCGCTGAGCCATTGCTACTGGGCCACGACGGCAGAGCCGGTGTAGGGATGCCGTTAACCGTGATTCTTGATCGTGCGCCTTTGCTAGCGGTGGTGGTGGCGAAGAAGGGGTTCACTGCTGTGATCTGTCCATCGCTACCCCGCCTGACGGCCTCAGTAGGCGAAGATAGACTTCGCTGTAGTCCGTATTTGCCATCGTCGTCATCGCTATAAAACACCTTGATCTCGTCATCCTCCTCCATTGCCATTGTAGCAAGGGGCCTGCTGTAAGCGCGGACGTACTTCCTGACAGAATTCCGCTTAGCGCCTTCACGGAAACGTCTTTTGAGCTTGCTCCATATATCCTCGGCAACACAGGCGTCTTGAAGGATAGCCATGATCGTGCCAAGGTCGTTGAAGAGTAGATCCTGGCACTCTAAATCCTTGCTCGCGTCGTTGAACCCCTTGACGAAGGCCTCCGCATAGCCCACGCAGAACCTCAGTGGCCCGGGATTAACCTTGGCAATCGCCCGGAACTCCGTGGGCTGCACCGTGATGAGCTCACATCCAGCGGAAGCGGCCCTGAAGGGACCATCTACCAGAGACACCTTGGACCACAGAATTTCCTCACAAGCCCACTGGCCGGCTTTGACCTCCAAGGGTAAAGTTGCGTAGTCCCTGTGGCAATAGGACAATGAACCAATTCGGACAAAGAACATGCGGTTCACGCTCTGTCCGTTCCAGAACAGCTCTTCAAGCGGAAGCAACGACACCTCATCTGTTGCTTTGATACACATCTGCCGCAAGCCCTCTGGGCACAGCTCCATGTAGGTGTTGAAGAACGGATGGGTTGTGAGAAAGGGCCTGAAGGCCTCGTAACGCAATTCCTCACGGATGGGCTTTGGCAGAAGTCGCATGCACGGTATCTCCGCCTCCTTGATGCGCTTGTTGGCCATGCGCTGGTGCTGAAGCATGAAGTGCTTGCAGCGAGCAGCGAGCTCCTGAGGGATGCGGAACTCGCTGAAATACTTTCGCATGAGCAAGTCCTGCTCCTGCTTCCGAGCGTGCCTCAATCGAAGAAGGGTCATCGCCTGAGTGATACTCGACACGAACGATGAGAACACCACAAGAGCGAATATGATCACGATACATGTGAAAAGCCGCTCGGGGACGTTCACTGGCCTGACCTCCATGGACGCAGGTGTGAACTGCGTGAGGGCCCAGTGCATTGACGTCCGCCACCGCGCTGTGGAGCGGCTGCTGTGTGCGTGTGCGTGTGCGTGTGCGTGAGCGTTTGCGTGTTTGTGTGCGTGTTTGTGTTTGTGTTTGTGCTTGTGTTTGTGTGTGTGTGTGTGTTTGTGTGCGTGTGTTTGTGTGCGTGTGCGTGTGCGTGTGCTTGTGCGTGTGCTTGTGCGTGTGCGTGTGCGTGTGCGTGTGCGTGTGCGTGTGCGTGTGCGTGTGCGTGCGCGTGCGCGTGCGCGTGCGCGTGTGCGTGTGCGTGTGCGTGTGCGTGTGCGTGTGCGTGTGTGTGTGTGTGCGTTTGCGTGTGCGTGTGCATGCGTGTGTGTGTGTGTGTCTGTGTGTGTGTGTGTCTGTGTCTATGTGTGTGTGTGTCATTGTGTGTGTGTCAGCGTGCGTGTCAGTGTGTGCGTGCGTGTGTGCGTGTGCGTGTGCGTGTGCGTGTGCGTGTGCGTGTGCGTGTGCGTGTGCGTGTGCGTGTGCGCGTGCGCGTGCGCGTGCGCGTGCGTGCGCGTGCGCGTGCGCGTGCGCGTGCGCGTGCGCGTGCGCGTAAGCGTGTGTGCGTGTGCGTGTGTCGTGTGCGTGTGCGTGTGCGTGTGCGTGGCGTGTGCGTGTGTGCGTGTGCGTGTGCGTGTGCGTGTGTGTGTGTGTGTGTGCGTGCGTGCGTGCGTGCGTGTGTGTGTGTGTGTGTGTGTGCGTGCGTGCGTGTGTGTGCGTGTGCGTGTGCGTGTGTGTGTGTGTGTGTGTCTGCGTCTGTGTCTGTGTCTGTGTCTGTGTCTGTGTCTGAGTCTGAGTCTGACTCTGTGTGTTTGCGTGTGTGGGTGGGTGTGTGTGGGTGGGTGGGTGAGTGGGTGGGTGGGCGGGCGGGTGGGTGGTTGAGTGGATGTGCGTGCGTACGTGCGTGCGTGCGTGCGCGCGCGTGTGCGTATGTGCTTGTGTGCCTGACTGTGTGTGTGTGCCGGGATGCCTGTCTCTGCACAGATGGCGCTGCGAGAGAACAGCTCGCCCTCTCCCCCTCCCCAAACACTCCCAGACTCTTGCCCATCTGCACTACCCCCGTGACACGCGAAGCCAAAGCAAACATTTCTAGCAAAGCGCTGCGTGGGCCCTCCCCACCAAGCCCCTCCGCCTCCATCACCCGCCCCCCTCGCAGTACAGTGCAGGACTCACGCGACAGCGCAAGCGGATGAAGTAGCCATACACCTCGGAATCATCCGGGTCCATGAACAGGTCTCTCCAGGTCCTGCCGGGCTGTTGGGCCAGCCAGTACCACGCGCACGCCACGTAGTGGGTGACCAAGATGAGGATCAGCAGGAACTTGACGAGACCTTTTGTCGACGAAACATGCATGCTCCAGATGTCGTAATAAAGGGAGGGGGGTCTCATTTCGGGGGGGGGTCTCTTCCAGGCTATCTTGGAGGGCCTGGGGGGTCTGGGGACGATGTTTTGGAGGGTTCTCCCACGGGGGAGGTCTGAAATGGCTTGTCTTGGAGGGTCCGGACCCCCTCCCTTTTATTACGAAATCTGGACCCCTGTCGACGAAACACGCATACACAAAGCTGGAGGGCCGCGCGGACCTCTCAGACCTGCGCTGGCCCCCCGGACGGCGCCTGTGGCGCAGCCCCTGGCGCGCTCCGCGAGGCCGCGGGCGAGGGGCCCGCGCCGATCCCGGAGGACTGCGCGGGGCATCCGACACGGTGCGTGCTGTGCAAGGAGGGCTCGGTGGCCCGTGGCCTCCTGACAAGGTCTCCCGCACGGGCTCCCGCAGATTCTCCCGTGTGGCCTGCCCGCGTGGTCTCCCGCGTGGTCCCTGACATTCTGCTCAGGTCGGGCATGTCCCCCTACATCGGGGTTTTGGGCGAAAAGGTAAACATATCCAAGACATACTCCAACAATAGTCAAACATGGTCAGAGAATCGTCCCCAGGCTGCTATCTTTGAGCACTCCTCCTGTAGAGGGACAGGCCCGACTTAACAGTATCCCTGATTGCCTCACTCATGGTCTCTCGCATAGTCTCCTCGCGTCTCCCTTCTATTACTCTGTAGCTCCTGAGGGTGTTCTCTGTACGTTCTGCCGCGCTCTACAGCACTGTCTGTGATCTCTTTGGTTCTCTGAAGGGCTGTCGTTGGACGTCTGCCGCAGCGGGCGGAATGCCCCAAACAATCCTCGCAACTTCGTGAGGATCCATGCTCGTGTGCCGGGATTTCGCTACGTCGCCGCCCGTAGCCGCCTCGTGGGAATTCGCCTCGGCGCTGCTCGTGGCCACCGATCGGCGCACCGCGCTCTGCATGGGCCTGCCGCCCCCCCCCAGGAGTGGTTTTGCGCCGAGGGGTTCTCGCTGCTCTCTCCCTGCGGAATCGGGCGGCCCAGCCGAGGAGGAGGAGGAGGAGGAGGAGGAGGAGGAGGAGGAGGAGGAGGAGGCGCCGTCTTGAGGCAACATTGGGCCGTCTCCCAGCGTTTCGGAAGCCGGCAGGACGTCTGGGGCCCTCTCGATGGGCCGCTGGGGGGGGCTGGCTGACGGCATCGCCACCTGTGGGGCCCGGCTTGAGGCTCTCTTGGAAGCGTCGTACAGTATTCGGCCTAACCCAAGGAACGAAAAATAAGGCACGAAGGCCCTTTTTATCCAAGTGATTCTGGGAAGTCCGAAGGAACACCAGGGGGATTCGCCGCCAAAAAGGTAGCAGAACGAATTCAAACCAAAGGAACGACCGAGCCCCTTTTGAAATGCTTGTGTTCCTTATTCAAGCCGGACCCTGTAACCCTTTTGGGGGGTCTCCAGGGTCACTTTAGGGGCCCCTTCAGGCCGTCCTGTCTCCCTCCGAGGCGACTCTTGGACCGTCTTGGAGCGGCGGTCTTGGAGGCTTCTGGGGCCATCTTGAGCGGCCTGGAGCTTGGAGAAAAAGACAGAGCGCTAAAAATATTGGAGAATCCAACTGGGCGCCCGCTGGGCGCCCTCTTGAGAATCTTCTCAGGACCTTCCAAGAGCGTCGCGGGGGCTCCTGGGACCAAGTGGAAGGAACATTCCGCAGTCTGAGGGCGCCTGGGGGCCTCTTGGGGGCCTCTTGAGGGTTGGCTGGCAGTGCCGGCCTGTGTGACGCCCCTGTTGAGGCTCACGTGGCGGCGTCGCGGGCCATCTTGGAACCTCTCGTCCAGTGGGCCGTTTTGGACTCTCTTAGGCTGTCTCGGGTTCCTCTGGGGCCCCTCGGCGGGCGATCTTTGAGGCTTCTGGAGCCGTCTGGGGTGGTCGGGAGCAGGTGTAAGCCAAAACGCTAAAAGCATCGAACAAGATGTATGGAAAATAATGGTCCTTGCCCCTCGGCGCCCGTGAGAGGGTCCTTTCGGGTCCTTCTCGGCGCGTCTCGTGGGCTTCTGGAGCTGTGCTGAGGGGGCCGCCTCCCAGCGTGCCTGAAGCCTGGTAGGCTTTCCCGCGGTCGCCTTCAGCTGCCCAGGAGCCCTCGGAGCCCCAATGAGGAGGCCCCCGGCTGCCATGCCAACCAGTGGCACCGATCCATGTCCTCTACCCTAGCCCTACTCCAGTACGTATATACACACTAAGGTATAAACATGTGTATGCCCATGTGTGTTGTGCAACATGGCTTACACGTCCACGCAAGAAGTAACTGCGCGGGGTCCACGCTGTAATGCTTTCTCTTCTTCGATGCCTGCTACGATGCTCAGGCTCTCCGAGTTCATTGCTCCCAGGATCTGGTTGAACGAGGCGTTGAGCTTGGGCATCCGCAGAAGCCGCAGCGCCCGGAGGCTCCGGGAGGCCGCCTTGCCGAAGCGGAGGAAGCCAGAGCTGCTAGTGCTGATGACCGGGCAGTGCCACAGGGGGGTCACCACTGGGGGGGTCACCACCACCACCTCCTGGAAATCGAGGCTTCACGTTGTCGGGCTTCTTGGGGGTCTCCTCCAGGGTTCTGAGGGGGGGTTCATGGCCCGTCTCCTGGAGGAGATGGCGACCCTCCTAGTGGTAACACCCCTTGGCATAGCCTGGGATGATGAGGGAGATCCAATCGAAAACAGTGATGACGAGGTCCGGGAAAAACCTAGCAGAGGAACAAACGACCTAAACATCAACATTCGGAGGCCCGCGCGGATATCTTGCCTCGGCGCTGGGCCCCCCTCCCTGCTGCGTAAAACCGTGCCAGGGGCGGCGCCCGAGGCGCCGCCAGAGGATCCCATCGAAGACCACAAAAACCCGCACTGGCCTCGTCACGTGTCTGATGGTGCCGTGTGTTCCTTCACTGGGAGCCACGAGCGGATGTAGTTCTGCGCGACCGCCTCCTTGCGCATCTCGAGCAGGCCCTCCGAAGAGATGAATCCCGTGCTGAAGTTCAGCAGGATGTCGATGGTCCAGAAGGCGGCACATATACCCTCGTAATAGGACCGAACTTCGAGGTAACTCTCGGGCAACACGAACACCTGCGCCGGGAGCATCGTCACGTCGTGGAAGCAAATCGTCATGCCCACGAAATCCCACAACATTCGGTACTTTGTGAAAGGGTGCAGGACGAGAAGGAAGATATAGCAGAGGGCCTGCCAAATCATGGTCGGCCTATCCTGCTTGAAGTCTTTCCCATTCAAATGGAAATCGGTACCGACTGCCGACGCGTCTGCGTCACCCCTTATCGCTTCAAGTGCTGGGTTGGCGACGAAAATTGTGAACTCCTTGGCGTCTTTCCACGAGCTGTGTAACATGGACATCCCAGATACGTGCAGCTCTTCCAGGGCAGTGACGATGCGAGTCCAGTGCGCGATGACATCTTTCTCGCTGTCGAAATTGAAGACGCGCGAATGGCTCATGGTCCGCGTGGTGCGCCGGTTGCGACGGTGCTCCCACGGCGGATGATCGCGAGTTGCTGGTTCCTGGGGATAGCGCAAATACTGATACGGCCGGATCCCGGACAAGAGAACATCTTCCAAGAACACCCGCTGGCCCAAACAGACACAGTATTCGAGGGTACCTTCCCCCAGGGCGCACAAGAGCATCCAACAAGCACGAATAATACTAGGGCACCCTCCCCGAACCGACCTCGATCTCACACACAGGTCCGACCGTACCGCTGATCCCCAGACCTCTCCGGGGGTGGACTCTGACCCGCATGTCCAAACGGATCCAGACGCGGCGATGCGTGCCCCCCCAGAGACCCAGGATGGGGAGAGCGAGGAGAGGGCACCGGCATCGGCATACTCTGTTGGAGCAGGGAACTGCCATACAGTAGGGGCCCGACCACAAGAATACCTTCATCAAGAGACCCAACCTTGAGACTCCAGGACGTCAATGGATCTGTTGTGGGAACGGCACGCTCTCCGTAGCAAAACCATCGAAACCACAGAAACCAAGGGCACCCTGGAGGCACGCAGGGTGTTTCTTGGCATGGGTCTCGACTGTACGGGATATGATGAGCCTACCAAGAAATGCTCCTTGAACGAAAGAATGCTCCGAACAACTCAAAACAGCGCAATGGTCCTTAGCATGAACCCGACTGAGAAAAGCGAGACTGCCTCAACCAGACGTGCTGTCGGAAACATTCTGGGACAAACAACAGAAAAGAATAGGTGTGCCAGCGTGGACCCCCACAAAATTTGCTCTGGCCATATATGCTGTGCAATATCTGCGGAACAATGTACAGTGTGCAGCCTACGTCAGCACTCCACGATATGCAATATATGGCGTGCAACTCAAGCTGTGCATGTCTCTGTGTATATATATATAGAACGAGAGAGAGAGAGAGAGAGAACAAAAAAAGAAAAGCAAGAGAGACAGAGAGAGACAAATAGAGAGAGAGAGAGAAAGAGACAGAGGGAAACCAAGTGTGTGCAATTTTTGTGTGGCAATATATTTGGTACAAATATACGTGAATCAATGTATTGTCATACGTGTTGTTTGGTATGGGCGGCGCAAATGCTGTGGTGCACTCTGTTTGCTGCGCAATTCACTTGTCTCAATCGAAGTGGTACCGATATTTGTGAAGCAACGTATGGCGTGTAATTAATCTTTGACCGTCTTGAAACTGTCCTCTCCACTGCTCGTGCAAACATCCCACCCTCCCACCCGCAACTTGGTCGCAAGACCTCTTAAGACAAGACCGTGACGGTACGTACCACATGACACGTGGCCACGACACCGACGCCGACGACGACAGCGACGACGACGACGACGGCGCCGCCGATACCGACTACGACGACACCGACGACGTCTCCAACGACTTCGACGACGACAACGACGACACCGACGACGACGACGACGACGTCAACGACGCCGACGACGACGACGACGACGACGACGGCGACTACGACGACACGGACGACGTCTCCGACGACTTCGACGACGACAACGACGCCGACGACGACGACGAAGACGACGACGACGTCGCCCACGAAGGCGACGACGAGGGAGCAGGAAGGACGACAACGGCGACAACGACGACAACGACGACAACGACGAGGGAGGAGGGAGGACGGCGACGACGCGAACGACGAAGAAGGAGGAAAGACGGCGGCGCCGACGACGACAACGACAAGGGAGGAGGGAAGACGACGACGACAACGGCGTCGACGACGACGGCGACGAAATAGGACTGACGACGACGAGACGCCGACGACGGACGACGACGACGACGAGGGAGGAGGAGGAAGGACGACCACGGCAACAACGTCGACGGAAACGACCACGACGCCAAAGAGGACGACGACGACGAACACGAGGAAAGACAGAGGATGACGTAGGCGACGACGACGACGACGACGCGGGAGGAGGGAGGACGGCGACGACGACGACGACGCAAGAGCGCGCGTGCACGCTTTTGTTGAAAATCCGTGTTGCGAAACCTTGTCTTTGTAGGTTTTTTGGACACACGATTTTGAAATCCTTCCGAAGCCGATGGGTTTGAAGGTTTTTGGCATACGCGCGCGACGACGCGCGCGTCTGCACTTCGTCTCATTTTTTCAAAGGAGTCGCGCGACGGCACACGCGCAAGGGCGTTCGACAGATTTCGACATGCGCGCGCGAAGCCCGTTTAATAGCATGTTGTGAGAATCTTGAAAAACCCATGGTTTTCTTCAAATTTCGCAAGAGCTCGCGCGGAAGCTTTTTTTAGCAAATTCATGTTGCGAAACCATGTGTTGTTGTCTGCTTTTGGGGAACTCGATTGCGAAATCCTTCCGGCACCGAAGGTTTTTGAAGGATTTCGGCATGCGCGCGCGCGACGACGCGCGCGTGTGCACGTCGTCCCATTTGTTGCAAGGGATTCGTGAAAGAGTGCTATGTTAGGACAAAAAATGTCACCGCATAGTGTTTTTTACAAGGGACCCTCAGGGGGGGGATACCGGCCACCCGGGGATAGTGCAAATTCATATTTAGGATGGACATGTGGTCAGAATCATACATGATTTACATACCCGAAAGGATGAGTGATAACGCCGGGGGGTTTTCCACTCTGCTGAAATTGAAGTCGTCATCTCCACTGCTCGCGCAAACATCCCACCCACCCATCCGCAACTTGGTTCGCAAAACCACTTAAGACCGACTACGACGACACCGACGACAACGACTACGACGACACCAACGACGTCTCCGACGACTTCGACGACGACAACGACGCCGACGCCGACGACGACGAAGACGACGACGACGACGCCAACGAAGGCGACGACGAGGGAGGAGGAAGGACGACGACGGCGACAACGACGACAACGACGACAACGACGAGGGAGGAGGGAGGACGGCGACGACGCGAACGACGAAGAAGGAAGGACGGCGACGCCGACGACGACAACGACGAGGAAGGAGGGAAGACGACGACGACAACGACGACGACGAAGACGACGGCGACAAAATAGGAGGGACGACGACGAGACGCCGACGACGGACGACGACGACGACGAGGGAGGAGAACGAAGGACGACCACGGCGACAACGACGACGGAAACGACCACGACGCCAAAGAGGACGGTGACGACGAACACGAGGAAAGACAGAAGACGACGTAGGCGACGACGACGACGACGCGGGAGGAGGGAGGACGGCGACGACGACGACGACGACGCAAGAGCGCGCGCGCGCGCACGCTTTGTTGAAAATCCGTGTTGCGAAACCTTAGGTTTTTGTAGATTTTTTGGACACGCGATTTTGAAATCCTTCCGAAACCGATGGGTTTTGAAGGATTTCGGCATACGCGCGCGACGACGCGCGCGTCTGCACTTCGTTCCATTTTTTGCAGAGGATTCTCGCGACGGCACTCGCGCAAGGGCGTTCGACAGATTTCGACATGCGCGCGCGCGAAGCCCGTTTAATAGTTTGTTTATGAAAACCTGGAAAACCACAATGGTTTTCTTAAGATTTCGCAAGAGCCCGCGCGGAAGCTTTTTTAGCAAATCCATGTTGCGAAACCATGTGTTTTTGTATGTTTTTTTGGAAACTCGATTGCGAAATCCTTCCGGCACCGAAGGTTTTTGAAGGATTTCGGCATGCGCGCGCGACGACGCGCGCGTGTGCACTTCGACCAAAAAGTGCTATGTTAGGACAAAAATGTCACCGCATAGTGTTTTTTACAAGGGACCCTCAGGGGGGGGGGATACCGGCCACCCGGGGATAGTGCACATTCATATTTAGGATGGACATGTGGTCAGAATCAGAATCACACATGATTTACATACCCGAAAGGGGGACCGATAACGCCGGGGGGGGGATAGATCCTATTCTGTTTTTAGCCACTCTGCTGAACTTGAAATCGTCATCTCCACTGCTCGCGCAAAACATCCCACCCAAGCACCCGCAACTTGGTTTGCAAAACCTCTTCAGACCGACTACGACGACACCGACGACAGCCGACTACGACGACACCGACGACGTCTCCGACGACTTCGACGACGACAACGACGCCGACGCCGACGACGACGAAGACGACGCCAACGAAGGCGACGACGAGGGAGGAGGAAGGACGACGACGGCGACAACGACGACGACGACAACGACGAGGGAGAAGTGAGGACGGCGACGACGCGAACGACGAAGAAGGAGGAAGGACGGCGACGCCGACGACGACAACGACGAGGGAGGAGGGAAGACGACGACGACGACGACGACGGCGACGAAATAGGAGGGACGACGACGAGACGCCGACGACGGACGACGACGACGACGAGGGAGGAGGACGAAGGACGACCACGGCGACAACGACGACGGAAACGACCACGACGCCAAAGAGGATGATGACGACGAACACGAGGAAAGACAGGTCGACGTAGGCGACGACGACGACGACGACGCAGGAGGGAGGACGGCGACGACGGCGACGACGACGACGCAAGAGAGCGCGCGCACACGCTTTTGTTGAAAATCCGTGTTGCGAGAACTTGGGTTTTTGTCGGTTTTTTGGACACACGATTTTGAAATCCTTCCGACACCGATGGGTTTTGAAGGATTTCGGCATACGCGCGCGACGACGCGCGCGTGTGCACTTCGACCAATTTTTTGCAGAGGATTCTCGCGACGGCACACGCGCAAGGGCGTTCGACTGATTTCGACATGCGCGCGCGCGAAACCCGTTTGGTAGCAGTTTGGAGAAAAAAAACACGGCCTTCTGAAGATTTCGTAAGAGCTCGCGCGGAAGCTGTGTTGGCAAACCAGTGTTGCGAAACCACGTGTTTTTGTATGTGTTTTGGAGACTCGAGTGTGAAATCCTTCCGGCACCGAGGGTTTTTGAAGGATTTCGGCATGCGCGCGCGACGACGCGCACGTGCGCACTTCGTCCCATCTCTTGCAAGGGATTCGTGAAAAAGTGTTATGTTAGAACAAGAAATGTCACCGCATAGTGTTTTTTTTACAAGGGAGCCTTAGGGGGGGATACCGGCCACCCGGGGAT